CCCCACTAGTTTACTGTGGTAAACTTAGATTTATTTGCTTTAAACACAAACATATATCACAAAACAAATTAAATGAATAAAGTAAATATAATTAAATCAAATGACAAGGGTAAACAAAAGACCCTGTTCACAATTTGTGCAAAGATTTAGAAGGTCCTCTCTTTTTGGAAAACATAAGTCTGATTTTACCTCACAATGTCCTCAGCTGACAAACTCAGTCCTCACTGTGCCAGAATGGATGTCAGCAGGATTAGTAGTAGGAGTAGTTTATTTTTCATGCAATACTTCATTATTGTTTTTTAAGACAAAGCTAATTGAAACGGGCGCTGAGCAGAGTTACAACCAGGGATTACCGTACAAATAATTTTTTTTCTTCTGCAGTTCGGCGCCCCCTCCAGCAGATGGCGCTCTAGGCGACCGCCTAGTTCGCCTATGCCAAGAGTCGGCTCTGTCTAAGAGTACAAGAGTAACCGAAACATGTTAATAAAGAAATATCTACTGAATGGTAACGTACCTAAACACAACAACGCAGATACCAGTCGACCAAATGTAGGACAAACAGATTTAAAAACTCATTTATCCCAGCAGCAGTTAAATTCCTTAACGAACATTTGTGATTTTGTGTGTGAATGTTTTTGTTTAGTTGTTTTTATTCTATTGGCTGTACAACAAATTGCTCCCCGGGGATAATAAAGATTCTTGAACTTGAACTTGGACAACAGTATTGAGGTTTTTTTTTGTGTGTGTCCTGGTTTTGGTTCTCCTGGTGATCAATCTGCTTCCTTGACCAGAAAAACATCTTTAGCTTTTGCTAAATTAGAAAAAATAAATAAATAAAAGAGGGGGTGGGTTAGGTTAGCTCAGTTGGTAGAGCTGATTCCTCTCAGCAAGAAGGTCGCTGCAAATCCTGGCCCGGAAACCAAAGTTTGCATTCTCTCCATGCATGCCTGGGTTCTTTCCGGGCACTCTGGTTTCCTCCCACAGACCAAAAACAAAAAAAATAATCTAATTGGTAACTCTAAATTGTCCCTGAGAGAGTGAATGGTTGTCTGTCTATGTGTGGCCCTGTGATGGACTTGTGACCTGTCCAGGATGTACCCCACCCCGCTCACATTGACTGCTGGATATGATCCCCCGTGACCCTAAAATGGAAGAAGCGGGTGTAGATAGTGGATGGATGAAACCTTACCCTGCACAAAATGCTTGTTAGTTAAAAAAAAAAACATCAGTCAAATCCTGGACATGTTTTAAGCAGTACATGATCCATGAAATGGCTTTTCATCTAATAGCTAATAGGTTTAAAAACCAATGGTATGAACATATATTTGATGAGCTTGTAAATGTTTGATATCCTGCCAGAAACTTTGTCACAGCCAGTAATTACGGCAGGAGGCTTCCATTCATTCATTTCTCATTTGAATGGTCRTTCACAACAAAGATTTATAATACTGGCTGAAAAAGAAAACCACATTGTTAACTCTCAAACACAAATTAATGACAAGAATTTATGCTGCTCTCAGCATAAAACTCATATTTAGTGTACTTGGCGGGCGATATGCATTTAGGGTCTTTAATAACATTGCAATTTATTATAAAAAATCATTTAAATATCACCATTATGGTTCAGCTATTATTATTATTATTATAGCAACATGACAACTTTAAGGCTTTGGCTTTAAATTTGCTCATTTAAATTAAAAAAATTCCTACAAAATAAAAGCCATCTTACACATAATTAATGTGAATCACAGCAAACGTGAATGGAGACCCCCCCTCCCATGGCTCCTGATACCACAGAGGCTTTATTCTAACCAACACCGCTTGTTATGACAGGGTTTCATTCTGCTGGCGTCACGCGGCGGCCGCGCACGCGGAGGCGGGGAGCGGCTGTCCGTGGTGCTGATGAGAGTGATGCTCTCCATGCTTCCACGCTGCCGCTACTGCGCATGTTGCATGACAGGTACACGCAAAGCCTCCATCTTGGGCATCCCGAGCTGAGGCGAAAGGGCAGCAGCCATACATATTTTTTTACACACCGATTCAGAAAAACAACAACAACAACAACAAAGCAAAGAACGGAGGAGAAGAAAGAAAAATGGCAAATTGCCGAGATGAAACTTTYCCCCCCCGTTTCTAAAGAAAACCAGCCCGCTCAACAAATTGCTCCACAGAAATGAGCGGATAACAGAATGGGACTGAAAGACAGCGACGGGTCTGGGAGGCTCTSATAACCCGTTTTCTTCTTCTTTTTTTTCCCAGCTTTGTGAGGACCTGCAGGTGACACTTCCCCCGGTGAGTCCGGCCGCGCGCTCTGTTTCGTGATTGACGATTTTATTTTATTTTTTTAAAAGGGTTTTAACATGTTCCTAGCACGCTCGCGTTCACATGTACTGCCTTGTTCTCCCTGCGAGCCCCCCGTCATGGTGGTCGCTGTGTTGTTGCTGCTCCTCCTGATGCTCTGGCTGCAGGCAGGTGTCAGACTCTCTTTACTTACTTTGCTTTTGTTAGAAGGAGACTCAAAGCGACGTGCAGCCACAGGTTGTGAGAGCTCCGGTTGGTCTCTTGATTTTGTTTTGAATTTGTTGCATATCACCCCCTCATCCCCCGCCCCAGCACAGGCCCTGCAGTGGGTTTTTTGCAGTCAGAGAAAAAAGCCTGATCCATATGCAATAGTCAAATGGCTTCAACTTATTGAAAACTGAACCTTTGATTTTATATTGACCTAATTACCATAACAGTCAAATATTTTTTAATGAAGATCAGATAATGAATAAAGAAATAACATATATCACATGTCAGCTGTTGACATCCAAAGCCACTAAAAACAGGTCGAACAATAAAATGTTTACCTGCACAGATTGCTGTCAGCCTAATGCAGGTCAAAGCTTCCTTGCAGATTAAGCCAAGTGTTTGTTTACACTGAGTGCAGACCCTCATTTCAGAACTGCATTGACAAGATCTTAAACTCCATCATCTGTTCAGCTTTAGGCATTGCAAYAATCATAACTTTATTTATAAAGCGCTTTCAGACAAACTGCTGAACAGTTACAAAAAGATAAAATCAACACCAGAGTTGTAAAGTAACTAAGTACAAATCCTTTGTTACTGTACTTAAGTAGAATTTTTGGGTATCTGTACTTTTTTACTTCTACTTCTTACATTTTCACACAATTATCTGTACTTTCTACTCCTTACATTTTTTTTAAAGTTGCAAGCAGTAGAAAGTTGTTACTTTTATTTCATTTTTGCTTGTTTTCATTCCAGCTTGTTTTTGTAAAAAAATACTATCCATATAAATTGAGTGAATTTAATTGTGGTTGAATGAGAAGAATAAATATATAAAATTCAGATACTGTATTAGTTTGTACACAAACAAATCATGTCACACTCTAGCAGGACATAATCATTGAAATAAAAGTACTGTACTTAAGAAGTATTTGTATTTAATGATTTATATTATTACATTTGGCCGCAGCCCTCAGATAGATTTTCATTTTGGGGAAAAGGATTGGGCAGCCTTGATATATGTATATAAACTGAAACATCTAGGCTAGTGCATCCTAAATTTAACATAAATTAATTATTTTAATACAATATAGTCATTTCTGCTGCTTTTGTGGAGGTCACCTCCTAATAAATGTCTTTACAGAAAATCTAACTGCTCATTTTAAATC